CACAGTGGAAACACCCTGAGTGTCCTTGTAACTCCTAACTGAATAATGCACACAGTGCCTAACTCTTCAGGTTGGTTGGGCACTATATCAATAAAATATTATTAATTTATCATTGATAACAAAATGTAAAAAAAAAATACATTCAAAACTTTTTGCATAATTAACACAGCCAGCTGAACAGAAGATAAGCAGATATTTTATACCAAAGATGCATTTAAATTGAAAACACTCCAGTGTCATTAAAACTGTATAGAACTATTTTTACATTTCAATTAAACCAATAACAAACACAATGATGTCAAATAACTATCAACACAAAAAGTTACCTGGTGAGGTTTAAATTAATTCATTGTGCCACACATGAGTAGAAAGGATACATAAACATATGAAGCACAAGGTCATAAGAGTATTCAGTACAATGGGATCTCTCTTGTAAGTCTTCGCATTTGTTAATTATCTATTTAACACCATCAGTTTGTAAATATTTGACATTTTTATCAACTACATACATTTTATCAACATTTAAACATTTTTATTGCCTTGTGTTTGTTATCCTGGTATATTAGTCATTCTCTTTGGTTTTTCTTTGCTGGTTATTTTACTTTGGCTGAATATTTCTAGAACATTTCAGCAGGGATCCATGTGATAGGACAAAGCTGGGTGTGTCTGCAATGTCAGGATCCATGCTGGTTATGTTTTATAGTGAAGGGTGTGTATGTATTTGTCATTGTAGCTCTCTGACACAGCAGAGTGGGCAGAAGAAAATGTTTTGCTTGCAGCCGTATTAGAACAATACAGGGTTCAAGAATATGTCTTTAAGAGATTAAAATGTATTCGATAATTCACAAAACATAACTACTTTTGTAATGCGAATAATGAAAATATTTTTATATAATTCATAACATTTACATATCAATTTTACAGTATCAATACACCTGTCCATCCACTGTTTAACTACACCATCACAGGTAATGTAAATTTAATTGCCTGTACACACAAATAGAGCAACACTGTACTGTACTGATGTTTTCTGTGAATTTAATCGTTGATCTGAATCGTGGTTTGTGATTGTGTTAAAGTTAAAGCTTTAAAATGTGCACTATATTTTCAGTACCTGTGTTGCTTGCTGGACAGGTGGAACTGCTGAATGAAAGCAAGGAAAGCTTCAAAATCAGCTAAAAATATCATTCAAAACTTTGGCAGATAAATAATTATCATCTTCAAGTTGCCTGTCATCTGTCAGACAAAATACTTCTGAATTCTTCTGTCAGAACAACAAGTGTTGTTTCTTACTAATGCTAAGCTAACTTTAAATGGCAAAACCACGAACATTAGAAATTTTATTGTTTTTAAGTTTTGCTTTGATTCTGAAGTTTGAAGTGAATACATCAGTAGCATCATTTTAATTTTTGTTTTTACATATTCTTTTATTCTTAGCTCCCAATGTATTTGTATAAAAACCCAACGTTCTTTATTTATATGTTGTGTTAGATTAGATTTTATTTTATCTGTTAACTCAAATCTCAGTTTATTTCCTTGGGTGCCTGGGTATTTTGTGGTGCTGGAATTGCATTCAATAATTTCTGAAGGAATTGTGACGCCTTCCTTAACACTGTTCTCTGTTGCTGACAGCAACAGTGAATGCATTTTTTTTGTATCAAGAACAAACAGTACAAACACTCCAGCAGAAAAGACTGTTGAGTTTGTACTGCTAAGTGGTCGTTGAAGTTCAGTTGGAATGCGACATGATCAGAATTTTTTTTTTTTTTTTTGGCTGTGCTTCTTACTATTAACAGATTCTGAAACTGATTTAGTAGCACAGTACTGTCCTGAAATAGGTCGGACAGGCTAAATGGACAGCTTTTAATAAATAGATCTGTCAGCAGACATGAAGTAGAAATCACATCACTGACTGTTACTTGAAGTGTCACGTAACGAGTGTCATATAACTGTCAAAGAAATTCTCTGTCTTTACTGGGTTTTTTGTGACAACAGACAGTACTAGGTGTTGCAGTTTCAATGATATTTGCATCAACATTTTGTGTTAAATGCAAATGTGACTCAGGGCATTCATGACGTGCATGTATTTAATGGCTATAATGAGGTTTAAATTCATAATCATACTGAAAACCATTCCCTCAAATTTCCTGTAATTGAATAGCAGTGGGTAGAAATATTTGCAGGGGGCACAGAGTGGATGAAATCTTAGAAGCAGAGCTGCAGGAAGTAAAATCTTGGGTGAGCCATGTGTAACAGTTTTTCAAGTGTCCGTCTAATACAAGGTGTAAAATCAAGTGCTACTCAAGTTTTTAACAGCAGAGATATAAAAAAAAAAGAATGAAAAAGCTACAAGGTGTATTAATATTGTGATTGTAGCTCACTTGAAGCTATTCTAAGCTGTTCTTATGAAACTGATAGGCTGTTGAAACGCTCTCCTTTTTAAGTTTGTGTTATTATTATTTGTTTCGGAGCTGGACTTAAGCTCCTGAAAGGGGCTAACCTCTGGGAATGCTCTAGTTTCAAAGGTCGTATGTTTCAGTCATGTCTCCAAACGGAACCACTGACCTCCTCTGACTTAAAGCTGAGATCAGCTTGAAGAGGAATGTAGGTTGTCACCAGAGCTATTTTGGCAATGTACAGCCGCTAATGATTGTGATCATAGAGCAGAGCTCAGAGCAGTTGCTTTTTTCCCCAGCAAGCAGGTTTGATCATGCAGCTCTCACTGGCGCTTCAGGGATTAGAGAGTTAACGGATGGCACGTCGGCTCCGCTTGCATTTTGCGTCAAGGAGAAGCAACACGGACCCTCTGTCAGAAAGCCTTAGTAGTCATGGTGAGGACAGTGGAGACACCCTTTCTTCTCTTAGTCCTGTTGAGAGTCTGGCGCACAGTTCTGTCCACTTGAAGGTGACTCCTTTGTCACCGGACTATGCTAATTTACCTCGGTATTCTTCATTATTCATACCCCGGGTTAATTGTGGAAGATGCAATAAGAAGAACATTCTGCGAATCTCTCTGCAACCCTGCGGAAAAGTCAGCAGAGAACCAGATGGCCATACAGAGGTTGAGGACCTAGGAGTAGGTGAAGGAGGAGCTGGTAGTAGCTTTGATGGGGGCTCGTGCAACAGCAGTATGGCTAGTGATGCAGGGTATTGTAGCAGCAATAGCATCTTTGAGCCAGAGGCTGGAGAAAAACAAAGGATCACTAAGACGAGAAGTTTACCACGCTCCAAATCCAAGCTCCCACTGAGGCGGTGCTCCTCTTTGGTTATATTTCCAAAGAGTCCCAGCAGTACACCTCCTGCCTCTCCAATAAATTATGTGGCTCTGCCTCCTCTACCAGCGTCCAAAGAGTGTCATCAGTCATCGCTTCATACTTCTGCCAACGAATTCTCACCGAGTGAAGAGAAAATTACTTGCAAAGGGTCCACCAATACAACAGTAATTGACCATTGTCTCCCAAAAGGAAGCTGTTCTACTGACTTTACGGACTCAAAACATACCGTGAAATTAAATATTCCTCTACAGGATGAACCAAACTGCATAATGGATATGAAGGGAAAAGTTATAGAGACATTATCAATGGTGGACAGGTCAAATCGCCATTCTAGTTGTGTACTGCTACACTTTGCTCAACAAAGACCAAAGGGAGCTACAACAGCTGTAAATGTGGAGTATCCTAAGGCTCTTTGCCGTACAGAACATCCCAAAGGAGATCAGGAATCTTACAAAAAGCTACATCGAAGTACCTCTGCTTGTGTTTTTTCCTCAACTAGACAATCGGAAGAAAAAAAAGTACTCTGTTCTAATGAAGAGAGACAGGAAAAAGCTGGTGAATTATGCTGCAATCGAGCAATACAAAGGAGTATTTCTCTGGAAGTTCCATATCATAACACAGGAATTTCATGTCATGTTTCGAATGCAAAACTCAGTAGCCCTTGCTCTCCGCATGTACACATTCATTTGTCTCCTTTTTATCCATCTAAGTTACCAAGCTCTGTTATTGATGTAAACCAAACCAACAATGTCCCAAAGAGCACCAGTGAAAGCACCAAGGTAAGTGTTTTATTTCAAGGCATTTGATGCGCCAAGTTAACAGCCAAGTAGCCTCAAATATTTACGACTGCTGTACCATGTCACAAACCTGAAACTTGAAAAATGTTTCAGGATCGGTAGATCTAAAGGCTCTGTGAAGAAACATTTGACTTTTCTCTAATGTTGTTTTGCTGGTTAGATAATATTCCCTACTGTGATAATTTGACCACCCTGCTGACCATTTCCTGACATATTGACATTTTTATTTATTTAAGTAAAAAGTAGTAATAGTAGTAATAACAGAAAATAATGTCATCTTCTTTGGCCATTCCAATGAAGTAAAATTATGTTTATTTAGCGTTAGCCAGTAGAACCACCACAAGAATAACATTAAGTAACTGAGAAGATGGCTACATCTAAGTCATGCAATTAACAAGCCCACTGTGGACAAACACTCTGAGGTATTTAATTACATATAACCTAATGTGGTTGCCTGTTAGTTTCCAAGAAAAGAGTGATCAGGACAGGACGCTCATTCAAGATCACTCTTGAAATTATGTTAAACTCCATTTATCTCTTTTACTTTTTTTTTCCACTTGTGCTATCTGTGAGTAATAGTCCAAAGTATTTACCCAAGCTAATTATAGAAGTGGGAAAAGCAGTACCCCTTGCTGATATAAATAACAAGCTTCTGAAATATTCCCCTGACTCCAGATAGTCTGCCAGTTCGTAGCACTGCCCAGTCGTGTGGAATCAAATTTAACTGCATGACACTAGAGCAGGACATAGTCATGTCAGCCATCTGTGGAAGCTCTGTGTGTGTGTGTGTGTGTGTGTGCATGTGTTTGACTTTGTGTGTGTGGTGGACAACTATATCAGCAGGGTAGAGTATGAGCTGGAGCATTTCTCTGTAAAAGTATGGAGTGTACCCTTCCCTTGAAGCCCGCTTGCCAGGCAATGTTTGTAAAATATCAGGTGTCAGCCTCCCCCCTGTGTTTAGCAAGCTGACAAATAAGAAGGTCTCTTCCAGTAATTTGCTGTTCTGCCTCATATTACAATATTTAGCTTCATGTTATTTTTTTCATTTCTCTATTTGGTTTGACATTTTCATTTTTAATTACATGGAAGAACAAAACAATAAAAGTGGCATTGTTTAACATGTAGTTACACCTATAAAGGTGCTCAGATGTTATGTAGAGAATACCTATGTGGTTTTCGGAGTTGGATATACAAGTTTGATTATTTTTAAATCTCAGACAAGATCCTACCATGTCTACCTGCATGGACTCTATTGATCCTGATCAATAATTTTTTTTAAATAAATTTATGACCTGAACATGAAAATCTCTGGGCTGCCTATGACATCATTAGTTAAAGTGAGACCGCTTAAAGGGGTTTAGTTTGGTACGTTGTTCTTATCTGTGTGCTCTCATAACTCCATACGTCCAGTCATCAGTTAAAAAATAACCATGAAACTAGTCAGGTGAAAATGACTCACAATTTCCCTCTGTGTTGTAAACCATCTAAGTCCAAAAATTGCAGAAACCATAATTAAGATATTGTTTAAGTGATACAGCAAGACAACAAGTTTAAAAACTCCTCCTCACCATCTAACATACCCAGTGCAAACCTAATTATATAAACAAATATAAATAAATCACATCCAACAAACAATTGCTTTTACGTTTCTTAAAATATTACTAATTATGTTCTGGTAATAACATTAGCTGTTTGTCTCTCTTTGTTTCACAAGCTGCTGTCCACCTGTCAAAAGCAGTTTATTGTTGCCAAACTTAAATGGAGTGGTGCTCTACTGATACCAAAATGTGTTTGTAGCAATCTACCACAGCTGTGTGCACTACATGGGCAAGTTGTTTTTATAATTATTAGTTAGTAATTTTGATATTTAGTCAAACACGTGTCTGTTTGGCACTTTAGTCAGCTGGGATGTTAATAGTCACAAAGCATTGTCCCACAACACAGTGTTCGACTTTCTGATTCCCAAGGCTGTTTTCAAGGCGTTCTGTGAACAGTTAAGTTGAAGTGTTCAAGGAAAAGACAGTGTTTCTGACTTGTGCTCTAAGCTTTTCAGTCGGTTCCATAGTGTAGCGGTTAGCATACCTGCCTCGGCAGCAAAGTGTAGCGGTTAGCATGCCTGCCTCGGCAGCAGCGACGAGAGAATCTTGGGTTTGATTCCCAGAGGAACCACATGCTTGGCCCTTGCTAGGGGCAATCTGTTAACATCATATCTGCTGCAAACACAACAGTTTCCCAAATATGGAATCAATATAGTATACATTTATTTATATACTTTATTTAAACAAGGTATTCATAAACACGTTTGCACGTTGGCTTTATTTCTGCTGTAAATACAGCAATGGATTACTTTTTACAGGTATGACTGTACAGTTTTATTTTAAATGGGTGTGTGACTTTTTTTTGTGACAATGAAGTTTACTCTAATTAAATGTCTCTTTTATGGTTTAGAAGACAAAAAGGGAATTGGCCAGTCAATTTGTTTGGGTTTGGATGTACATATTTAAACACAGTTCCAAGGATATTTTATGCACTTTTGAGATCTAAGTCTCTCTCCTCTCTCTCTCTGCCCCCTCAGACACGTGATGACTTTCTTGGACAGGTGGATGTCCCTCTAAATCAGATACCGGTGAGTCCTCTTGACCTTTGCATATCATTATCTGTTTTCCTTGAAGCCTTGTGTATGTGAGCAGGAACATTGTGGGTTTTTACTGCACAACTTCTTGACCTCAGTTTCAAGGTTTTATTTATTAGTCATTGTATTTGCATACAATGACATTTTTTTCACCCATGACACTGTAAACGTGCGCCCTTATTCAACTGTCTGTTCCACATCATTGTCCATGGTTTTGTAAACATGGTCTGCCATGTTTATGTTATGTACATTTATATTTTACTATAAATACAGTATAACATTTCCAAATCAACCATGGAAAAGTCATCAGTTTACATCAAAGCATTTCAAATTAACTTTGATATAAACACGTGGTCTGCAGTTTATGAATTTTCACAGAAATGTTGCTATTTAAATTTTCTTTGTATTTGACCTTTTTTTTTCTTGTCACAGACAGAAAATCCTAATGCCGAAAGGCCATACACATTCAAGGATTTTCTGCTTCACCCACGAAGGTCAGCATGAATTCATGCTTTTGTCATCTTTTCCTTCTTTTTCTTTCATTTTGTCAAATGTGTTTTTAAAAGTGAATGGATTGGTGACAGTTAATATGTTACAGTTTTACAACTAACACCTATTTACTTTTGCTTTGTTCAAAATCGTTTGTTCAAAACCCCTTGTTTGTTTCTGTAGTCATAAGTCAAGGGTCAAAGGTCATCTACGTCTTAAAATGATGTACTTGCCAAGCAACCAAGGGGAGGAAACTACAGATCAGACCGAAGATGTTGATGTGAGTTTGATTTTAGCTTTTGGCAAAGGTATTGTTTTATTATTGTTAATGTACCCCAACATTTTAAGTGGGGTGCTGTATGGGAATGGTCCTAAATGTCAATAATATGTGGTAATATGTAATAATGTTAAAACAAAGAATTGACTTTTTGATTTTTAGAAACAAAAGTAATCAATTACTTAGATTTTTTTCAAATCACAATGTGATGTTTCCACATTTTACTACAGATTTCAGTGGTCTTCATTCTTTGCTAAATGTGTTTCATCAATTGGTTATTGTTAGGGATTCATGGTGTCCAAAGTAATGGGGCACATAATTTCCTTAGGGTTAACCCACCACGGGTTGAATGTATAATAAATAAATACATTTAATTTGCTGTTTTCAAGCTTCCTAGCAACGTTGAATCCTATTACAGTTTGTGTTTATTCTGCACAGCCTGAGTGGGAGCATCTGGAGTCTGAGGACATGTCTGGGCCCAGACAAAGTCAACTACTACCTCCTCTGCCCCCTGGCTGGGAGGAGCGGCAAGACAATTTGGGAAGAATCTACTATGTCAACCATGAGAGAAGAAACACACAGTGGCAACGCCCCACAATGCAGTAAGATGCAGTTTGTATAAAAAGGACAACGTCTAGTTGAAATCTCTTTTATTCACAACCAGTAAATTACCAGTAAATTATTGGACTATAATTATCAGACATGCAGTGTTCGCTTATCTGTTCTGTTTAAATTTGTTTTTTTCCTCCTTTTTGTATTATAATTTATAAAGTAAACCAATGCTCTATTAAAGACGTTAAGAGAAAGCAATGTTTCTCCACATAAACAGGGATGGTAATTTGGATTTGGTCAGAGGCCAGAACAACACTACAGAGGTGGAACATGCATTTATTTCACGCAGACAGATCTCAGATCATGGAGAAAATGAAACACCAGAGACCCCTGAGGTAATTTTGACTCTTTGCTTATTATCTTGTCTTTTGCTTTGTCCTACATGTCCAGTATGTTTTTCATTCTGTTCAGAATGGATGAGTATCACATGGCAAAGGAATTGTCTGTTAGAAGGGACAAAACAGTGCCACATCACAAAGTGTGTCTTCCTTATCTTTTAGAGCTGGGAGATTGTTACAGAAGATGCGTCAACATTGTACAACAGCAATAGTGAAATAGCAATGTCGCCTCCACCCCAAGTGCCTGCAGACAGTAATTCAATTTGCAGAGAAATGGGAAATATGCAAGTTGATGGCACCCCAGTTAGTGAGCATTGCATCTCCCACATGGTGAGTTGTGTTCTGTGAATCATCAGGTTTTGATTAAGGAAATTGAAATTGAAGACTTGTAATGAAATTAACATAAACCATGAGCTTTTGTGGAGAGAGGCAATGATTATTATTCAGTAATGGACAAATCAGGGTTGTTGCCTGACATCCTCTATGTTACTGCAGAATCATGCAAGTATTTCAAGCCATTCCAGTCTCAGGAGAAGCAACCAGAATTCACCTGGAGAGGAACATCCAGTTCAACCAGTGGTGAGTGTAACGCTACCTAAAAAAAGAATTAGTAATTGTCATGAATTTTTGAAACTCTTCACAGTGTTAAACATCGGTTTTTTTTAAGTGTTTAAGTGTTTGTATAGCTGTACTACTTCAACAACATGGAGACAGACCTTTAATAAAATTTTGACTAACCAGAACAGGTTTTATTTAAAGACAGCTTTCACAAACAGCTCTACAGACTTTCAATACTGCCACCTACGGGGCATACCAAGCACTTCAAAATAAAGTTGAAAAAATGTTGATAAATTGCATATTCATTGCAGATGGACACACCACCATATAACTGATGTCCCTTATTTTAAATACATAAAGATTGTTTTAGAAAATTATTTTTAAATTATACCTCAAAACAAAACAGGTACGTCTTTATATATATCATTACTATTATTTAATATTTTAAGTAATTAACCAATTTTTTAAAACTACATTTTCATGTAACTTAACAGCCAACCTCAGCTGGATTACCCCCTGGCTGGGAGGAGAAGCGGGACAGCAAAGGAAGACGTTACTTTATCAACCACAACACCAGAACCACAACATGGACACGACCTGTGATACAGGTACACAGTTTTACTGATGTTTGTTGACACCAAGAAAACTTCTCAAAGTGCTGTTTGCCAGTTTGATCAGGATGGCCTGTCACTTTCTTGCGGCTTCTATGAAAAGGCTGTTGCCTCTGACCAATTAGCAATACAGGTTGGACTAATCTGTTCTTGAACAGTGAACCAAGCTTATGTTTTGATTGGACAGAGAACGTCAGAGACGGCAGCTGCACAAAGTGGTGCTGGTCAATCCCAAAGTCCTTCACCTTGTCAAGTGACCCCCCCTGAGGTGTTGGCTCCACAGAGCTCAAGCTCAGACTCTACGATTGAAACTGGGTTTTTGCCATCTGGTTGGGAAGTGCGCAGTGCTCCCAATGGAAGACCCTTTTTTATTGACCACAACACTAGGACAACCACATGGGTAAGAATGATAGTAGACTGGTCGAATTTGTTTTATACGGCGTTGGTCTCCTATAGGAACATCTAGCATATTCACTAGAAATCTGCTGATTGTTGAACAGCAATTCAAAGACATTTTATTGAGAATAATAGGAATGTTAATGTACTCTCTTCTTCTTTCATCTGAACAGGATGACCCAAGGCTTAGAATTCCAGTTCAAATGCGAAGGACAGCCACACTTGACCCAAATGATCTCGGCCCTATGCCGGTATGCAAGTCTCAATATTTTGTCAACCCATGTGTTCAGATATAAAGGTAATGCTGAGATAATTGTTAGATCACAACTTTACATTTTTAATTCTTAGCCTGGTTGGGAAGAAAGAGTCCACACTGATGGACGGATCTTCTACATAGATCACAGTACGTATTACACAGACTACAATAAAATCCTGAATACACCAACAACAACTGCAGTCCTGTTCTAATGGATGGTTTGTAATGTATTTAATTGTAGACACCAGGGCCACACAATGGGAGGATCCCAGATTACAGAACTCAGCTATAACTGGACCAGTGAGTGAAGATCTTAATTAACTTTTCATATACAGTCTCCTATAAATTTAAACCATCAACAACAACAAGTGAATTTGTAATTTTCCCCACTGTCACTGTGTGACTTATCTTCTTTTGATTTTAATGAAAATTGATCTGTTTCTGTTCTAGGCTGTGCCTTATTCCAGAGACTATAAACAGAAGTATGAATACTTCAGAAAGAAGTTAAAGAAGCCGGTGAGTGCCTCTAAAGAACAACTGATGTGGACTTCTAATATAAATAATTTTAATTTCTACAAATAAATTACATTTATACATTCTTCTTAGGCTGACATCCCAAATCGCTTTGAAATGAAGCTGAGGCGTAATGCAGTACTGGAGGACTCCTACCGTCGTATTCTTTCTGTAAAGAGACCAGACCTACTAAAGGCACGTTTGTGGGTGGAGTTTGAAGGAGAAAAGGGACTAGACTATGGTGGTTTGGCCAGGGAGTGGTTTTTCCTAATGTCCAAGGAGATGTTCAACCCGTACTATGGACTCTTTGAGTATTCTGCCACGTGAGTTCATGTACACTGCTTTCTGACAAATTCCAATTAAAAAAAACCCCGTTTTTTTACACTTTACAATTGCCCTTTTATGAAG